TGTCATCTCTGTTTGGAAATGACAGCGTCATATCGTCCTACTCCCCCCCAGGTGTGCCCATTTATGACAGGGTTGATGCGATTTTTCTGCCATCGGTGATGCCGACGATTTTGCCGCATACGATTGGTCACCGCAAAGGAAGGGGATAGTCCGCCGTCTACTATAAAATTTCCGCCACTACTCAAGTGGAACAAGTGCTGCTGTCTCTGGTAAAGGGCATCTTGTAAATGCTGATTTGTCCCGGTTTTTCGACTTTCTATGGGTCCGCGGGTTTCTCCTGTCCTTCAAACTCATGACGGGGAAAAACGATAGGCAAGCCAGGACAGTAGCTGCGTGTTAGTACAACGACTCTCTCTCTCTCTCCCAACATTGAGTGAGATGAGGTAGACGGCTAGTGCAAGCTGAATTCGTTTTAGCTTGGTTCAAACGTGGGAAACGAGATACTGTATCCTCTCGCTGTCGGAAAACAAATTAGATTTGTGTGAAAACTGCTAGTTGCAGTACGGTTTTGTCACCAAATAGTGATCAAAGGATGAATATTCCACATGTCATATGCCAGCGTTTCCGGCCTTAAAATGTGACAATTCAGACAAGCTTAGTGGTATTTGGGTAGTGTTTGTCAACAGGAGATCTGTAGATTGTTGGCAGATTGAATCATGCAATCACTTTTCGTCATTTTTGCGAGTACCCGTAGGCATAAAAATTTGCGGATTCTGAGCGATGCGGTTTTCTGGACCGGTATCCGGCTCAATCGATTTAATACTGCAGTTGTTGGTTGACCAGTTCGCAAAATCTGCTTCTGTGTCTGAAGGACATTACCAACAAAGACAAGGGAGACTAGGATGGCCATTTCTGGCCGTCGTCAACTAGTCATACCGAGCTCAAATATTGCCCCAGAAATTGGTTCCCCGCCTGCGTTTTTTGAATCCGCGACTTTGTTTATTCAAAGTCCAGTGCTCTAACCACTGCACCAAGGGCTCGCTGTTTTTTCGGTTTTTGATCGGGAATATACAGAGGGGCGTAGGCGTACATGCCTCTGTTTGGAATTAATTTGCCCCGACATACAAGGATTAACGGTATTAGTTGCGTCTTGTGGCTAGAGCTACGTGGATACCCGTTTTTGCAGACGTGCATACCACCCTACGTGTTTGTGTGTTTGATTCTCTAGCGATCGATCCACCCGACATTTTGACCGCCACCACCACAGCCGGTTAATTTTGCATCTGGTTTGCGTCTTGTCAGTGCGTTAGTCCACTTTGAATACACGTTTCTCTACACCCACAGCAGTTTAGTTCTTCTGTCTAAGTATATGCAGAACACAACATGGTTGTTTTACATTTGATGGAGTAGCTATCGCTGTGGGGGGTGGTGTGGGGAAAATTGCCGCATTCCACTGTGTTCTACCTGCCTGTCTGGCTGCCCGCCTCCCTCCCTCGCTTGCTTGCCTGCTTTCATGTCATGGTGTCCTCGTATAGCCATGTGGTCTCCTCCTTTCTTACGTCATCGCGCGGACGCGCGCGCCTTGGCCTCATGACCGCAAATAGTGTGTGTGGTGGTTATCAGGCAAAATGTGATTTTACTGTGTCCGCTCCCTCCCCCACCCCCCACCACACAGCTACACTTCAAAGCGCACGATTTCGCAGCCGCCGCCACCGTCGTGGTAGCAGGTGATCGCGTGACGTCTGCTCCTCCTCACCCAGCTGGTTTATTGGTATTATGCTGATCTTACACCAGGGAGGATTCGTCCGCCGTCGGAGACTACCCGTAAAACCACCCAGTTCTTAGTTTGTGGAGGATGCCGGCTTGCTTGCGAGCAGCATAAGTGGACTCTTCCTGCTGCTTCTGCTTCTGCTGCTGCCGCTATCGCGTATTGCTGTCTATTAATAAAACCTCGCAAGTGTCCTGGCTGATATCCATCCTATCA